AAAATAGGGACCACCTTTGGTGGGAAGGGAACAGCGTTCCGTGCACCTTTGGCATTGAGTCATGCCGGCCACATGACCACCAAGGCGTCTTCGGACAGCGCTGACTCTTCGGCTTTGAAACGGAAATGAGCACCTCCCCCTAGAGTCAGGAACGACTAGCACATATGTGCGAGGGGAACCTTTCCCTTTAAAGTCAACTATCAATTTTGAGTTTAATAGGTCTTTTTCTACCAGCTACATTTAAAAAAAAAAATCTCTTGCCACCAGCTTCATTATTGGAATTGACCTTGTGTTCTAAGGTTTTTAAAAAGATGAATAATTATTTCCGATTGTTTGTTGAATGCTTTTGATAAAAGCTGAACATTGTCACAGGAACTGCTTTGTTGGCTTCTTTCTTTGGGATCAAGAATAGTAGGGGGTGCATTGTTTGCCACCTGAATTCAGTTCCCACGCAGGAGGTTGTGTGAACCCCCAAGTGAGAAGTAATTGAATCCGGTATGTTTAAGAAAAAAAATGACCTACAATATCGGTGAAATCAAGATGGTAAAACTGCACCTGTCCTGTCAATCTTAGAGCTTTTTTTTAAAACCAAGGGGTGCTATTCCCCAACCCCATTTCAAAGTGGCAGCTCATATCCCGCAAGTGCATCACTTTTTTTCATTTGAACAGATATCTGATCTTATTCAGGTTTGCTCTCCCTCCGCTGCTAGGAAAGATATATGAAGTTTTCAAACAAAGTTTCAAGCTTAAGGGAACATCTGAAATATAGATTTCTCAAATCGCCTTGGCAGTGGTTGCTTGACAAGACTGCTTTGTGAGATAAGCTGATAACCCACCTTTCCCCAGGAGATGTTTCCTCGCTTTTAGACAACTAACCAACTGAACAGCAGCCCCATTAAATCTGACACAGGGTATCTGTGGTGTGACCATGCAGAGAAAAAGCGATAAGCCATGGAAAAATCAGTTGCTGGCTTGCTTTCACCCAAGGAAGAGTCATCTTCTATCTGAGTGTGGTTTGAAGGATGAGGACATTCTCCACTCTTCATCAGCAAAAGCCCTTCCATAGGCATGCAAATTTTGAAATCTGTAATATTTTAACCTTAACTTAATTCTCAACTCTGTTCTATCTTTGTTTTTATTTATGCTTTTACACTACTTTTTATATTTTCATTGTGAATGGCCTGGAGTCACTTAAGTGAGGTGAGGAATGTAGAAATGTGATAGGTAATAGATAGATGATAGATAGATAGATAGATAGATAGATAGATAGATAGATAGATAGATAGATAGAGCAAGAGCGAGAG